CTCTTTCAGCATGTTCTCGCTGCCGGTCGCGTGCACCCTAGTCGCTGGCTCACACAGCGAGCTCGCCAGGGAAGTTATGTGCGTCCAAAGGGCCATAGCAGCGAACCCCGGAAGGCAGAAACGATCCTGCTCGGAACCTGTGCCGACAGTCGAAAACCGACTTGCCAGCTGAGCCCTAGCAGCCCTAGCATCAGGCACAGGGCCATGCAGCTCCAAGCACCGTTGGGAAAGCGTCCTCAGCACCAAAACCCGAACCAAGACATCAGAAGAGCCTGAGTTTTAATGCCCGAACAACCAAGACGGATTCATGGGACACACCTGCACTTTATCTCCCTCTGGGTTCATGCTCTTGTGCTCCCCGCGGAAGAACTCCGGGCCTCTGTAACACTGTCGTAGAAGACGTGTCCCAGGTGGGAGCCGCAACGTGTGCACACGATCTCCAATGCGCCGCTTCCATCTGGTTGTCCCACCACATGCTGGCCAAGATCGTCCGAGGCATAGCCTTGTCACAGCAAAAGTAGGCTACAGTAGCAGCATCACTCCGAAGGTAGTGCAAACACATGGTGCCTCCGAGTGTGTCTCGAAGTCCGGTTCACAAAATCTGTTCAAGATACCATTTCGGGGATTGGAAGCATGTTTTCTCTAAGATCCCCGCACTTGTCAAACACCGGCCACCCACAGGTTGATGCCTCAGCAACTCAATGCTGCGAGCCCACTGGCAACATCAATGCCGAAAGTCATTGATTTGTGCGCATTTTGCTGGGATTGTGATAGAACTTGCATGATTCGAACATGGGGCACCTGAGCTATCATGACGGACACGCAGACGAGCTAAGCTGCGAATTTGGAGGAGGCGGAGTACAGCGGAAGGCCACAGCCAGCGCAGGAGAAGTGGCCAGCCTGACTCAAGCATGTCGTCCGGACAGGCTCCGGCAGACCCGCCGACATCAGGAGCAGTCGCACATGGCTACATGGGTACGTCTGACAGATCCGGCAGCATTTCCCCCAAAGGTCAGCATTGGAACGTTGTCCCTGGAAACAGGCTTTCACATCTCATGACCTTCACCGGGCCACAGCTGTCACCGACTGGATGGTTTCTCGTCACAGCCGCGACAGCCGGTTCTCAAGTTTTTTCAAGACTTCTCTCAGGTCTGCCCAAAGTCAACTGCAAGCTACAAACCATGTTGAAGGCCTCTGGCAAGAACTTGTCGTACTTGTGTGACCCAGGACGTTCGGTGCCTCCGAAGGGCGGCGGCTCTCCTCTCGGCGCGTTCTCTGGAGCTCAAGGCCTCGTCTGCGGAGGATGCGGAACTTCTCTGTGCCCAGCTCCGTCTGCCACTCCTGGCACAGAAGAGGGAAGAGAGTCGGGAAGATTAGTCGAGGGCAAACGAGCTCACAAAAAGTCGCAGCAGCAAGCTGAACCTCGTCGCTCTTCTCGAGCTGGAACGAGACTGCACCAGTGACTTTGTTCTTGTAGGTTTCCATGGCTTCATCTGCGCAGAAAGCTGGACGGGTCTGAGGCTTGGCAAAATGCAGGCTATACCTGTGCTGCGACAGCAGATGCCTACCATCTTCTTCAACGAGCCGTCTGCAGCAAGGTTCTCGGTATCTGTGCCTCGCAAGACAGGATTATGCTTTCTCGAGCGAACATGAGCATGTTCCAAGACATCAGCATCACTGACTGATTCTGAGAACTACTGTAGGTCCCTAATAAGGGAACTAACTTCTCCTGTGTGGAAGCTATGTTTTGTGAATCCTGTCGGGGGCTTGGGAAAAGAATTCAAACAGAAAGCCCAGTAAAGCCAAGACACCTCCCCCAATGCATTTACCACCCACAAAGACGCGGGGTACTGTCCGTGCTCCAGTGATGCCGAGCAAGATGTCTTGAACCTGCGGGGTGCCATCTTCCCACTCCCAGCGAGCTGATAGAGTATTGACACGGCGAAAAGTACTCTGCAAACTTGAGGAAGGATATGACGGAAGCTAGAAGGCGATCAGGGAACTGCAGTGAAGGCACCCAGCCCGACCTAACCCTAAACGAAGCCGTGGACTGACTTTGCCAACCAGTACAGTCTGCTCTGCGAGCCCGGTGCCTTGCCTCTGCCTCGACTTCTTCACCAAGGGTGTCCAACTCACCTAAGCACCGAGAGAAAGTGTGCAGACATGTGCCAAAAACCACCAGTCACTAGGCTCCGTTGGGCCAGCTTCCTGTGGATGCATTGAATGCTGACACGTGGCATGTAGCAAAGCGAATGCCCTGCTGCTTCATCGCCTCCTGCGTCTGCTTGTGCGGCAGTACTAGAGACTTGCGTATTCACAGTGCTACGTGCCAACTGCAAGTTCTTGCAGTGAGCAGAGCAGTGTCACTGGGGCCCGTCAGACTACCTCGCCTTCGCCTTGGTGCAAAAGGGGCACCACGACTTGGAGAAGAGCATCACGGGCTGCAGAGCCACCATTTCCTGCCAGAGAAGGGGGGGGGAAGAGGGCTTGTGTCACAAGGACAGCGAAGTTGGAAATCAGACGCTGTTGTGACTGGAGGCCAAGCTCCAGTGGTCTCGGCCTCCACCTTCGTCTGGAGGTATGCGCTGGCCTCTCTTCGACATATGCCATCGCTTCTTCTGGCAACACTTGTGCTCACTTTTGGCGACAGCCTTCCTCCGCCGCAAGGTGAGCTCGCAATAACCACTCACGACATCTGTGCTTTCGGCACTGGCCTGGACCGTGTTCGCTGCCATTGTGACGTGCCGCGCCCGCAAGTTGCTGCGAAGGGTTGTGCCCCTGGCAGCGGAAAAAGCCTGAGCAACATCGCAAGCCCCCAGCAACCCGTCTTCTGCCACAGCCAGCTTTACTGAGCACTGAGCAGTGACCGCAGACACGACTGCAGCAGCCGAGCCGGAAAAGTTCAAGCCTTCGAACTGTCGCTTGGGAAGTATCGCTCCAGGGCCGTGGTCGGATACTTAGTCTTCTCGATAACCTGCAACTGCTGGCTCTCAAGCGAAGTTCTTTACTCTTAGTCCCCCCTTGCGGCCCTGGCACATGAAAGCAGACCCGGCGACAAGCTTCAGGCCAACAGCTTACCCGGACAAACACCCCCAGAGCTAGCTCCATGAGCCCCAACTCTTTTCTGCCCCCGCCAGTTGAACGACTCTGCGCAGGAAGTTCATATTGTGACGCTACCCGGAGCCCCTGGAGCCTGTTGCAGGGGCAAAGGAGTTGCAGCGTCCCCAGCATAAGTATCTGTAGGCACTCAGGCAAGTAATTCCTGCTTCACTCTGGCCGATGTCTGCCACCACTCTTCCCCAGCATGTGTCTGCCTGAGCCAGAAAACGAGGCAAATACAACATGCACTGAATGCTTTACTGCCCTCTCCCTCTTTGCGGCTGCATGTGCGCTTTATAATTCAAATCAAGGTGCTGCTGCCGAAGCACCTCCATTTCAACATCGTGTCCCTGCAGCTTGGTGCCATGCTTCATTGCTTCATCTTTCGTGTCGAGCACTGCCAGCCGGGCCCTGCTATTCTGCGAAAAGGGGTTCTTGGGCATTCCAGCGTGGAAGCCTTCTGGTGCATAGGTAGATTGCGCGGGCACCACATCGATGGAGCAAACCTCGCCTTCAAGGACGTGGATTCGTGGATTTGATGCGTCTACACCGTGACTCCCAAAGCGCTCGGCCAGGCATCCTGTAAGCTGCTCACGATGCTTCGTTGTCATGGGTTGGTTCCCAGGCAGAACCACTTTCAAGTCAAGGTCGGAACCGGCCAGGTTCGTGCGCTTCTGGCGGGAGCCACCCTTCACCACACAAGCCTGCGGCCCACATGCCTGTTTCACGGCCGCCTCGACCTCACGTATGTCTCGGCCGATAGCTGCTTTCGAGGCACTTGTCTCATGGACACGCCGGTTTCGCGTCGGCCTGCTTCACGCTTCTGATCAATGACCTGTTGATAATCTGCTGGCCGTGATGCTTGTCCTCGGGATTGCCAGTATGCCGGATGGTTCGGGTTCTTCTGGTTCTTCCGGTTGTTGTCAGCAGCGATAGATGGGCTCGGTGTGTTTCCAGCCTTCTTCGGCATGCTGAGGAGGGGGATCTCTCGAACTCTCACAACTTCGAGCCAAGCTGCAGAACACATGTGGAAACTGCCAGACCAAACAGCTGCCATCGACCAGTCATGAGGCCAGCAAGTTGCTGTGTTCACGTTTCTGTGTTGCGGGGCACGCCCGTGGATTGCCTAAATTGCAGCTGTTTCCGAAATGCAGCCGTCTCCCGTCTGCCTTGTGGCTTGGATGCCGATGGCCGGCTCGCTCGCAAAGTTTCAAAAGATCTCAGAGCACCGTCGTGAACACGGACTGCACTCAAGCCGAGCATGCCCGGGCGAGCCATGTCCGCCGCCTGCCAAGACACATGCTGACGATTCCGAAAGCTGAAGAGGCAATAGCAGCAGTAGTCGTCGTAGCCATAGCAGCCAGTGGCAGGAGGAGCAGCAGCAGCAGCAGCAGTAGTCATCATCGTGTTAATGCCAGTGGCAGTGGTGGTTGCAGTGGTGGTGGGCGTAGTTGGTGGTGGTGGTGGTAGTTGTACTAGCAGTAGCCGTAGCCGTAGCAGTAGCCGTAGCAGTAGTCGTCGTCGTCGTAGTAGTAGTAGTAGTGGTAGTGGTGATAGTAGTAGTGGTAGCAGTGGTAGGAGTGGTAGTAGTGGCAGTAGTGGTAGCAGTCGCAGTACTAGCAGCAGCAGCCGTAGCGGTAGCAGTTGCAGCAGGAGCAGTTGCAGGAGCAGCGCTAGCAGTAGCAGTAGCAGAAGCAGTAGGAGTAGGACTAGGAGTGGGAGGAGGAGTAGTAGCAGTAGCAGTAGTAGCAG